TTGAAGGTTTTGATGTTAAATGACAAAAAAACAATGTTTACATTTTTTTCTGAGTAGGTCTTCATGGTATGGGAGGCCATTATCTGAGGGTAGTTATTTTCGTTAATATTCCAACTTATTTTTTTTATTTTCACACTATTTATAATGTTATCGACATATCAACTGTGATTTGACATTGTATTAGTATTCAAAGGGGTCATGACTATATTTCAGATTTTTTCCATCACTTCATGAAGATATTTCCAAGATGGTGGCCACTTTTAGTGCCCAAATGGGACTATGTGAGGATTTTGTTTTGTTTGGTGTCAATATATATGTTTTTGGGGTCGCAGATTCCATTTCTGATATTTACAAACTTGATAATTGATCACAACTTCACATATGTAGCATATTTCCAAGATGGTTGTCATTTTTGGCGGGAAAATGGGACGATGTGAAGATTTTGATTAAGTAGTAGTGTTTGGTGTCAATATATATGTTTTTTGGGTCGTAGATTCCATTTGTGACATTTAAAACCTTATAATTTGATTACATGGCCAAACACTTAACATATTTCCAAGATGGCAGTCATTTTGATTTGGATTAAGTAGTAGTGTTTGATGTCAATATATATGTTTACGGGGGCGCATAAATCATTTCTGACATTTACAACTTTGTAAAATGATCCCATGTTCACATATTTAGCATATTACCAATATTGCTGCCACTTGTGGCGGAAAACTCGGACGATTTGCTAATTTTGTTTAAGTAGTTGTCTTTGGTGTCAATATATAATGTTTTCGGTGGCGCAGATTCGATCTCTGCCATATACAACTACGTAAATGATCAATGATCAATTTAGCATATTTTCAAGTCGGCAGAACGTATGTGGAATGTTGTTGTTTCCGTGACGCTGATAAATGTACAAAACTATAGTTAAAAGAATTTAATACTAATGTAATAATAAGAGGCTAGTATTCACGGTAAAATTCTATATTCAATCCATTATTGCCTGGGGTTTTATTATTTTTAAATAGTTTTAAAGCTTGCAGGCATTCACTCTCGTCAATTTTACATATACCAGATTCTGGCTTTTATTTTCATTTATTTTTTGGAAACACTGTTTTCTCAGAAATATTTTATCCTCGAGACTTGATCTGTTAAAAGCAGCAGCTGAATAAAGATGCAAATAAAAGTTATCAATTTACTTTGATATTTGCTTTGGTCAAGTGTATTTAATGGTTTCATTTTTAATTTTAAATTTAACGTAATCCCAAAGTCCCCCTTTAACTTCCTTTAATAATTCGTTATCATTTTTATCTGGCATCAGATTGTTATTAAAAATCCATAGTCCATATGTTAATAGCAATGGCTTGGTGATCACTGAATGTGTTTGGTATAATGGTACACTCATTTAAAAAATCTTGGGTACTCACCGAGAGTAAACAAGGTGTCTCGACGTATATCTACTTAACTTTGGCACTCATTTACACGCCCCCAAACGCGAGCACGAGTGGCTCTTAGACGACCTGGACGAGGTCTATCGTCAACATTGTGTGTTTGTTGGTACCGGTTCCACAGTCTGCTGATCACATACTGTGACACATTAAGCATGTTGGCTACTACTCGCTGTGTAGAACCCATTTGAAGGATGCCAAAAGCGCGTAGACATTTATCATGTTGAAGACGTCTCATTGCAAATTAAACGTAACACACTAAAGCAAAGATACGCTAAACAGTAAATCTTATGCAAGAAACGATAGGAAGGCAAACATGCATAGGATAAACCAGCACGCGGCAGTTTTCATCAACCCTTCCTTGAAGTGTCAAATTTGACAATGAACCCCTCCCACGTGTATGGCACTATTGCGTGTCGCACGTGCAGCCCAGTGGTTCAGTTGGGGCGATAATAAGTTCTTCATCTGTGAACATACTCTCAAAGCATGGCAAGGGTCCATGACTATTTATCGTATCACAACCTGCATAGGTATTTGCATTTCAATATCTTTAAATTAAAAGACTTAGTAAAGGCCATATCTTACGATATTTTCGCTGGTTATATGGAGAAAATGCCATTTTATTATGATTAATTAAAATTCCGCCATTTTGGATTTCATTTTGGTGGCTATTGGGGATTTCTACCATCATGGATTATCGAAATTCATGTTACACGATTAACTTAAGATCCGTCTTTTTGGATTCTATTTTGGCTGCCATTTTGCATTGCTACCATGTTGGATTTTTCAAATTATCTTTAAATTCAGAGAAATCGAAAACCATATAAAAGAGACAGTAATGGTCACATTTTAAGAGATTTTCGCTGGTAATATGGGGAAAAAACCTTTTTATGACCAAATTTGGCAGTCATTAGCTGTCCATGTTAATAGTATATTTTTTGCTTTCGTGTAAAGTTATAAATAAAACAGATGATAGACAATCTGTAGTTAAACAATATAATGAGACTGTTAAACCTAGTGGTTGGTCAAACGGTTTTACTGATATTATTGACTGGAAGAGACTCAATAATCCTGTCAGAGGATTTATTGATGATCATAGAAACTTTACAATTCAAGTAACAATTAATAAAATAACTGACATTGTAAAGGATTAAAACCAATAATTGAACTTTAGGCTGAATTATCTTTAAATAATTTACTTAATATGATGCGGGGGGGTGGATGGCCGAATGGTTAGCACGCGCGCGCTGTATCATACGGTCTGTCATTGAGTCAACTGGCGGGGTTTGGATTCCCCGGTTGTACGCGACAAGGAGTAGGGTCGCCTGTCCAACCTCATGAGTTTTCTCCGGGTCCTCCTGTTTCATCCCACTACTAAAGACCCCTGCGCGCAAGCGAATGATTGAAATAAAATTGAACCATGTGTTAGTCCCGAAATCACCTAGTTTGTGTCGAGTGAACGTTAAACCCCATTTCTCTCTCTCTTAATATGATGCAAGGGAGATAACCTATTTGTCGCTGACACAACATTGTCAAATGGTACTCAATGACCTAAAAGAAATGACATGAAATGAAATGTGGTTTAACGTCCTAATGTATGCCAATCTGCATTAACCCGGGTTGAGTAGAAAGGACGTTAAACTTCATTTTATTTATTCTAGGTTTTCTCTTTAAACTTGATTATAACACTAACACGTGGTTCAATTTTATTTCAATAATTCGCTTGCGCATAGGGGTCTTTAGCAGTGGGGGAATACCGCAGGACCCGGAGAAAACCCACGAGGTTGGACAGACGACCTTACTCCTTGTCACGTACAACCGAGGATTCGAAACCACCCCAGTCGATTCAATGACAGACTTTATGATACAGCGTGCGCACGCTAACCATTCAGCCATACAACCCCCCAAGGAGAGATAAACTTAGAAACTGAACCAATATAAACCTGATATAGGGGGTTATTTAATACCTGAATCAATATAAACCTGATATAGGGAGTTATTAAATACCTGAACCACACTGTAGTATTCATAAATACATTGACCCACATAGATACGCAACTTTGATACTTAAAGTAGCTAAGTCTCTAACTCAATATCATCCAAAGTCTTCGACATTAAAAACACGAATTAAAGTAGCTAAGTCTCTAAATCAATATCATCAAAAATCTTCGACATTGAAAACACGAATTATTTGTCAATTCAAATCAACATTGGTCTTGTGATCTTACCTGGAAATGATGGGCTTCTGATATCAAATATTCAAGACAAATTAAACATTTTACCATTGGTACACGAATCGTGTACCATAATGCGTTTCAGCGTCATTTGGAACAAAGGACTACCAAAGAACGAGGCTAGACATATTCCACATGTCAAATGGTGACGCTATATTCTTATCTGGAGAGCATGCGCAATAAATATCATCGGTGTAGACCGGAATAACCAGACGCTAAAGATTGCCATTCAATTAAGACTTCTGGCGTATTTCGCCGAACATAACTGATAGAAATTACAGTAAAAACAGAAACGGGTGAATGTAAATCAGTTTATATACATTCACATTACATTATTATAGTCCTATGCGTTGCGGACTTGCGACCCATTGGTGTCAATTTCTAGGTCCCAAATATTAGCGACTTAGCTCCGTTAAGTCCCAAATATTAGCGATTTAGCCCCTTTAAAGGGCCAAAACCTCCAACTCGGTAATACCCATGATATAATAGATTATTATATGATTATAATAGAATATAGATAGCATTTCAATGAATATTGTTGTAGTTATATTCCCGTGAATGACATAAGCATAATAAACAATATTTAAGACACAATGAACATTTTAAAATCGGTACACGAAGTCGAGTTCTATTTGAATATGACAGTTTTGAGCTTTGTTTCACTTGTTTGTAATGAAAAAATAAAAACATATCCCAGAAGACAACATATCCCAAAAGACAAGGGGGTAGGTGGATAGCCGAATGGTTAACGCGTGCGCGTTGCATCATGAAAAGGAGTAGGGTCGGCTGTCCAGCTTCGTGATTTTCTCCGGGTCTTCCGCCCCCCCCCCACTGTTAAAGACCCCTACGCGCAAGCGAATCATGGAAATAAAATTGAACCATATGATAGTCCCGAAATGACCTAGTTTGTGTCGAGTGGACGTTAAACCCCATCTCTCTCTTTCCCCTCTCTCTCTCTCTCGCTCTCTCTACCGATCGACAAACGACAAGATAATAATTTTTAAAAATGTGCAAAAGGACTGATCCGGCACAAATGACTCTTCGCGTATTAGATTAATATGTGTTTAATATCCCTTTTCGTCTATTAGAAACACGAGATTTGGTAGTGCTAAATGATAAGGCCAGCTCAATTTTTCGTCATAGGTCACGAGATGTAAACAGGGCTAGCGCAAATCCCAACCCAAACCCTAACCCCGGACCACAATGCTTACCCTATAATCTCGACAACAATCACTTGTCGAAACCTTATTTACATCTCAAAGACCTTGACAAAAATTGAGCTTGCCTTAAGAAATAGATTTAGCCACACTGGATATCAAGGATGGCCCTTGTGACTTACACGGGTCAGTAGATATCCCGTACAATCTATACCTTTGAATAGTATTCATCAATCTAAATATAGTAGATACACACCGGTTGTGTTGTTACATTGACACTCAGTTGAATAGAGTTATAGAAAAAACCTCCGTACAGCAGAGATAAAAATACCAAAATGTCGGCGATATATACATTAGAAAATCCAGTGTTTAGAGATTTTGCTTTCCATAGTACAGTTGTAATGTTAAAAACATTATCTATGGGTCCTATAACGTTATATTACCGTGTACGCAATAAGGTAAGTACTTGACATACATTAACTTGTTTGTGTTGAGCTATCTCACTGCAATCTTAGCAGCCATGATTCAGGCGTAGACTATACATAATATACAATTCTATGGGATACAGTTACACTGTATTACTGATCACGAGAGAGAGAGAGAGAGAGAGAGAGAGAGAGAGAGAGAGGGTGAGAGAGAGGTTAATTACACTCGAAACAAACTAGGTCATTTCGGGACTAACATATGGTTCAATTTTATTTTAATAATTCGCTTGCACTTGGGTCTTTAGCCGTGGGAGGACACCGGAGGACCCGGAGAAACCCCACGAGGTCGGACAAGCGACCCTACTCCTTGTCACGTACAACCGGGGAATCGAAACCACGCCAGTTGACTTTATGATACAGCGTGCACGTGCTATTCGGCCATCCACCCCACACCCTACTAATCACGTATTTCTAGTCGAATCGTTTTTCAGTAATTGTATAATATAGTATTATATCCCGCGTATTTCCAATCCAAACGCATGTAACAACCGACTACATGTATTTGTTATTTCGTGAAGTCATATGACAATTACTATGCGTGTTCTTTATAGAACACCTCGTAACACTTTTTATACATATATAATTAAAACCTCTAGGATGCATACAAACCTATATCGTAATAACAACAAGGGGTGAAGATGGAGGGTGGGGTCGGTGCCAACTCAAAGACAGGATAAACTGTAATAACTTTTATCATGTCAGCAATGATTTGAGCAAGCGAACATATTTGGGCACTGGATATCGATAGGGTTCGTGACCCCAATGTTTTGACGCCAAATTAGAAGTACATCGGTAGCCCCTATCGAGTTTGCAAGGTTTTCGACGACTAAATAGTAACGGTTGATCGTTGAAAATTGCACTAAATTTGAAAATAATGTGTTAAAAACTGTAGCCTCTGTCGTGTTAACAAGGTTTTTTGAAAGGGGGGGGGGATAACTTTATAATTATTTCGTAATAACGAATTAATATTTCGTAAAAACGAATTAATATTTCGTAAAAACGAATTAATATTTCGTAAAACTAGTTAATATTTCGTATAAACGAATTAATATTTCCTAAAACCGAATTAATATTTCGTATAAACGAATTAAAATTTCGTATAAACGAATTAATATTTCGTATAAACGAATTAAAATTTCGTATAAACGAATTAAAATTTCAGTGTAACGAATTAATTTAAGGGATTAATTATCTAATTAGAATGAAATAATTGTGTCAGCATGGAATCGTGCACTTAAGGGGTCCCGTGCGTTCACAATCAATTGTTGACGACGGACCGACGGGCGACGGACAGTGGCGTATTCATTATGACGTTATGAATATAAAATAGTTGGTGTGTTGGTTTTAACGTTATCAATATATGTTATTGTTTATTCTGTGTGTAGGCATATTGCAATAAGGAAGACACGGTTTGGGTGGGAGAAAAATGGGCAGTACCCGTACTAGATGACGAGGATGTTGAAAGATCACGCAGGTAATTAGACTGATAGATTTTGATATCAATGCTTTTCTACATCGCCTGGGCTAACGCCATGAGGGTTTTTTTTGCCACGACAGCGGCAGTATGATCTACACAATTATTTTGAATTCCAACTGTCAAGTGACCTTTTACGTACACGCTATTGTGTACACGGGGCCAATGTGTACATGACTATAGGTTTTCTCTATACAATATCGGTTTTTCGCCCCATCCGAACGACTAGACAGGTCCTGTCAAGACCGGGAGCGAACCCGAGACCCTCTAGATAGAGAACCAGCGTCTTACTCACTGAGCCATTGATTATGATAATAACTTATAACAAAGCCAAGTATCTCATTGACGGGGGGTGGGGGGTGTATGGCCGAATGGTTAGCACGTGCGTGTTGTATCATGCGACCTGTCATGCTAACCATTCGGCCATCCATCCCCACCCCCTTGCCATAAACCATTGATTATGATAATAATCATTATATACAGTAATATATCCAATTTTATATACTTGGTCCTGTTTAATTTTATATACTTGGTCCTGTCTAATTTCAGGTGTCATCTGAATGACTTAGAAAATATCGTACCATATTTTATGATAGGTATCGTCTATATAGCAGCTAGACCTAAACCAAGTACAGCTCTCTGGCACTTCCGAGTATTCACCGCTTCACGAATCTTCTTCACCTTAGCTTATATGATACCTTTACCCATACCAAGTAGAGGTTTTGGTTATTATGGAGGCATGTTCTCGACACTGTCGATGGCTTATACTATCATCAGAGAAGCTTTGAATCATGTTTAAACTGTTGATGAAAGTGGCTGGTATGATCCTCCGTATATAGGCCATGGAATTTATTTTTATTGACGAATTATTCAAATTTGGAATTTATCTTTAAATTATCCTCGAGACGTTAATATTACCTATTAGTAAGTGCAGGTGGACCGCACTACACGCAAAACAAAAATCTACAAGATAAACCCGCGGACAAGACAGAAAATAGAAAAAATGAAATGAAATGGAGATTAACGTTCAATTTGAAAACTGAACAAGGTGTTAAATTAACATTTAAATCAATAAATGGCACCGCTTCAGATTACACATCAGATCTACTTGTCAAACCACAATACTCTTGAACTCTGCGATCTATGGACAAAAACCATTCTTGTCGTACCAAAAGTGAATGTCCAAATGTGTAGACGTTCTTTTAGATATGTTTCATCTGTATTATGGAACTCGATCGATCCTAATTTCTAGCAAAGAGGCTAGAATTAACATTGAAGTCAATGGGGAAATTAATGGTGGTCTGCCTCCGGCTGGTCTTACGCTACGCCTTCTGGAGTTACTTCCCCTTCAGCATTTCAGTAAATAATCTAATCTCTATTCTTTGGAACCTAAAGTTGAGGAAAATAGATTTAACAAAAATACAACACCTATTAATGTAATTAGTGTATATAAATTGATTTAGATTCATTTTTTAAAACTTTAATTGTGATTTCTAATCAGTTCTGTCGAAATACCTGAAATACTGAATGTCAGTCGCTCCCGATTGGATAGTCCAGTCTAAATCTGAAGAACGGTTTCGCGTTTCACTTATGCACCCACGATTAGCCTCGTTCACCCAGGCGCTTCATTTCAAATCGAGCGCAGGAACATAGGATTCACGCAGACGTGTACTGAGTTTAAAATTGATATCAGGAGATCATATTTTCTCGATAAGATAACATGTTGTTTGTTAGTTGTATTTTACGTCCGCTTCCACAGAGGTGATATCGCAGACAAGATAACAACATAACCATTGATTGGAATTAACCAATAGGGGATCACGGTGGCCAAGTGGGTAAGAGGCTGGCTCACTAGACTGGAGGTCGGGTGTTCGATCCCTGCATTGGCCGAGAAAGTTCATCCAGATTTTCCGACGTGGTTCCCCCTTGTCAGTGATGCAGGGCGGAGGGTCTGACAAGGACAGCTGTCTAGTCATTCGGATGAGACGAAAAACCGAGGTCCCGTGTACACATTGGCGTACACGTAAAAGATCCCTTGACAGTTGGAATTCGATATAAGAGTAGGCCGTAGTGCCGCTGCCCGCGGGCAAAATTTCCCTCATAGCACACTGTATTGCGCATGCCCGTCTTCATTAGCCCAGTTCGGAGCAAAACCATAGGACGTTAAACCCCATTTCTTTTCTGGAATTGACCAATAATTGGTGTTTGTAAAATCGGACACTCTTGGTAATATTGAAGGTATAGAGGACACCTCCTTTAATAGGGGTGTTCGATTGCGAGTCGGCAATGTTTGGAATCGGGTTGATAGCAAAAATGAAATGAAATGAAATGGGGTTTAACGTCCTACTGTTTTGCTCCGAACTGGGCTAATGAAGACGGGCATACGCCATACAGTGTGCTATGAGGGTAATTTTGCCCGGACAGCGGCACTACGGCCTACTCTTATATCGAATTCCAACTGTCAAGGGATCTTTTACGTGCACGCCAATGTGTACACTGGACCTCGGTTTTTCGTCTCATCCGAATGACTAGACAGCTGTCCTTTTCAGGCCCTCCGTCCTGCATCACTGACAAGGGGGAACCACGCCGGAAAATCTGGATGAACTTTCTCGGCCAATGCAGGGATCGAAGGGTTGATAGCAGATAGTAGAGTGATAAACGAAACAGACTGATGAAGATGGAAATGAAATGTACGCTATGAAACTTAAGGATGCGGGTTGAGAATTTAATTTGGGTGAGTCGAACGTAAGACGGCTGTCAGTTTGGAACTTAGTGACATAAACCAAATAAGGAAACGAATTAATGAATAGCCGCACGTTATCCACAAATTGAGAAAGAATTGGTTGACTATGTCAATGATAGACGTCGAGAAGACATAGCGCAATGAATGTCAAAATCGTTTTTTTAGGAGTCACGGAGATCCTATAAGTAATTCCCTGGCACACTAAACAACGGGTCCCAAAAGTTTCTTAGGATTATTCAGCGTTATTTTCGACAGGACCTGCGATAATTGGGATGGGGGAGGAGGGGCCAGAATAGAGTTTAACGTCCTACTTTTCGCAACGAGCGTGTTAATGAAGATATTGGATATTGGCGAAACAGAGCGGCACTGAAAGAACCCCACTGCATTACTTATTTATTTCTTATGAAATGGGGTTTAACGTCCTACTGTTCTACTCTGACTGGGCTAATGCAGGCGAGTATTCGCCAATACCTAGGTTGATGCAGAAAAGTAAACCCGCAGAAAGCATGTCCAATGGCGTGGGTTTTCTCCGTGTCCCCCTGTTTCCTCCCACTGCTAAAGACCCCTGATTAGACCCGAAATGCCCTAGTCGGTGTTTTGTGAACGTTACCCGCCCCCCCCCCCCTGCCCCTCCTCCTCTCTCGTCTTTAAGTGAATGAAAGCCATCTAATACTCCAATTACACACTAGACATATCATTAGAAAATAAATTCAATGTTTCCGTCTACTTCATTTATATATAGATAATAATAATTGGTTTAATTTTTCAAACTTCTTGAATAAATATGCAATAATCAGTCAGCATGAACAAATCCAATATGCAATTTATGAAAGACCAGACAGCTCTTAATCCAGTGTTCTTAATTCTTAGTTATGACAAATATCTGATTTGTAAAACAAATGTTGATTTTACGATACAAATGTTAATTTTAATGTACAAATGTCGGAATACGACACCAAATGAAGACATAATATTTCAGGACTATGAACTAAGAAATAAGGACAAAGAACACTAAATAAAGAGCTGTTTGGTCTTCCATAGCAATTACGTACAATTGAGAGCATGCTACTTCAGTGATATTATTGTGGAGGACATTTAATCAATTGAACAAGTAACGATAATTTGAATATAAGATTGTCTAGGCTAATAATAGACAGTTTACCGTTGTATATACTGAAGAGTGCGTGACATTTTATTTGCGGTCGTTTTGTTAATGGTTATAAAATCTAATATTTATTGAATGTGTTTCCGGTTTGGTGAGACAGAAAGTATGACGGGTACAATTGACTAAAAATCTGACACACACTAAAACATAACAGTTCAATTTTTTTCTCATCGGGATTTTGCGACGTGGTTTCCCGTTGTCAGTGGTGCAGGACAGAGTGCCTGACAAGGACAGCTGTCTAGTTGCTCGGATACGACGAAACACCGAGGTCCCGTGTATACATTGGCGTGCACGTAAAAGATCCCTTGGCGGTTGGAATTCGAAATAACAGTAGGCCTAATCGTAGCAAAACAGTAGGACGTTAAACCCCATTTCATTTGGTTTTAACTTTTTTTTACCTGGTCACAGCTATATCTCGACATAGGGTGGTCTAGAGAGAGAGAGAGAGAGAGAGGGTGGAGTTTAACGTCCACTCGTCACAAACTAGGTCATGTCGGACCTAACATATAATTCAATTTTAATTCAATAGTTCACTGGTCTTTAGCAGCGGGAGGAAACCGGATTACCCGGTGGAAACCCACGAGGTTGGACAGGCGACCCTACTCCTTTTCACGTACGACCGGGGAATCGAAACCACGCCAGTTGACTTAATTACAGACCTTAACACACGCTAACCATGCGGCCATCCCCCCGGGAGTCCGTGAATGTTCCAATTAATAATTCGGTCATTTCTTTTCGCACATTTACAAATACAGCCAGGTGAAGTTTATCCGGACACCAGAGCAGCGCTACTCTTCTTGGAGAAAGATTATTTTGTTTTTGTTAGACTCAAGGTCAACACTTAATTACAAGCTGAACAAATTGTTTTTGACTCATGGCGGGATTCAAAGCCGGATAAATCTTATCGCTAGACTATTCTACGGGCCTGAATACTTCAAAACAACGTGACCATAGAGAGAGAGTATGTTAATGTTTGTAAAGAGAATACTGCATGATATAGACATGATGTATAATTCAAGTTTCACCTCAACATGTAGCTGAAAGACAAAAATATAGCTAAAACGTCGCACTTGATGTAAATTAACTAACCAATACTGAAGACCAATCAAACGAAAACAACTGATTATCTCGTAATTACGACATAGTTATCCCGTATTTACGAGACAACCATATTTGTTTCTATTTGTCATCGGTAAACCAGTACTGTAAATCATGGTGATATATTAGTGTGTGTGTGTGTGAACTAATGAATCACTGTTGGAATGTAAGATGAGGTAGTTTTTATTTAATCCGTGGCGGAAGAATGATGTTAGTCATCGTAAGGGCCAGAAGGGCTAAATCTATTTGCTAAGGCCGGCTCAATTTTTATCAAGGTCGTTGAGATGTAAATAAGGTTAGGGCACGTGATTGTTCGCGAGGTTGTAGATTAGGGGTTAGGGTTGGGATTAGCGCTAGCCCTGTTTATATCTTGTGACCTTTAACGAAAAACTGAGCTGGCCTTATCATTTTGCACAAACCGGGTGAGAAGTATAATGACTGATTGCTTCTGGGAACTGAGAGAAAAGTAGTTGGCAGTAGAGATATTGTTTCTACCGGTGCCTAGTTTGGAAAGGGGGTGGGGGCCATCAGAGAGAGATACGGTTCAATGTTATTTCAATAATTCGAATGCGCGTAGCAGTCTTTATTAGTCTGTAGCAGTGGGGGGAAACCGGTGGACCGATCCGAGGTTGGACAGGCGACCCCATTCCTTATCCCGCACAACCGGGGAATCGCAATCAGTTGACTCAATGATAGACCGTATGATACAGCGCGCACCCATTAACCATTCGGCCATCCACCCCACCCCACCAACTGCGTGTATATTACATGCATAAATAAAGAAATCAACATTGTCAGTTGAAACTTAAAGCGTCCAATCGTAGCTAAAAACCAGCATATTTCAACGTTTTTTAGCTACGTTATCGTAGCTAGGTATTCGAGGTGTTTAAAATCACACCATATGGTGGGGGGGGGGGTGGGGGTGTGGATGGCTGAATGATTAGCGTACGCGCGCTGTATCATAAAGTCTGTCATTGGGTCAACTGGCGTGGTTTCGAATCCCCAGTTGTACGTGACAAGGAGTAGGGTCGCCTGTCCAACCTCGTGGGTTTTCTCCAGGTCCCCCTTTTTCCTCCCACTGCTAAAGACCCCTACGCGCAAGCGAATTATTGAAATAAAATTAAACCATATGTTAGTCCCGAAATGACCTAGTTTGTGTCGAGTGGACGTTAAACCCCATCTCTCTCTCTCTCTCTCTCTCTCTCTCTCTCTCACACCATATGGTGTTAAAATAACCGACTGTATTTTATAGTATGGACTGATATACAGTACGCCCCGTGTATATATGTAATATAACTACACTGCAATACTGACACACTGTACATAGAATATATACACAGTGAGAGGAGAGAAGTACTCACCATGTAATACAACTTATACCACGACTATTTCTATACTATAACCTATAATAACACGTCTTTACTATTTATATATCTCAACCAACTATACATTGTTTCATTTGGAGTAATATGTAGTAAGTTGTATTTATTCATGGACTCTAATACAATAGTACAACCAAACAATGTTGTGAAGATTTCAAGCGAGAAGTGACATTGGGCGTTCTCGAGTGAGCAATACTATGTGAACTATTCAAATTAGAAATTGTACAAGGTGTTCCAGGTAGAGTAAGCATACTATGTGAACTCCCCGAATGAGAATTGGTATGAGGTGTTCTAGGTAGAGTAAGCATACTATGTGAACTCCTCGAATGAGAAGTGGTATGAGGTGTTATAGAAAGAGTACATTTATGTGACCTCATGGAAATGAGAAGTTGTATCCGATGCTATAGAAAGTGTAAGATGTGTGAAGTCTTCAAAATGAATAGTGTTATCAGCTTAAAGGGTACCACAGTTGAGGAATTTATAAATTTGTATTGAAAGATACCAAGATAAATAGAAAAGTACAAGTGGTATCAGTTGTTCTAGAAATAGTAAAAATACTCGACCTCTTGCACGAAACCATTTAATATCTTACCAGTTTCGTATTTAAATTCAGATGTATTAAGCTTTGAATCAAATTAGTTATGTTTACCTGGGATACATTGAATATAAGATCGTGCAGCTATTATAGTTATATGTACTGTCTTCTGGATTAAGACGTTTATTACGGTAATGAAGATCCGTGTGTTTTTGTGATTAATTGAAATACTATCAAATTTTTCCAGAGTGGAACACTACACCGTGTGTGTTTGTGTATGAATACCATCCAACATTGCTAGAGGTGGAACACTACGGAGTGTGTGTTTGTGTATGAATACCATCTAACATTTCCAGAGGTGGAACACCACATAGTGTATTTTTGTGATTGAAACACCATCTAACATTTCCAGAGGTGGATTAATGCACTGTGTATTTTTGTGATTGAAACACCATCTGACATCTCCAGAGGTAGAACATTACACTGTGTGTTTGTGATTGAAATATCATCCAACATTTCCAGAGGTGGAACATTGTGTGTTTTTAATACAATGATTAATATTTTATTAAAGGTATAATAACTTAACTCAATAGTTGTTGGATATTTCACGGTTTATCTGTATTACATGTAACAGTTTTATTGTGTTTCGGGAAAATATGACAGAATTAGGATGGATTTCACAAGACATTGTTGCCATTTAGAACTATTCAAGAGTTTGTGTTATGAGTATTGAAAGCCAGTAAACCAGGAAGTGAACCGATCAAATTATATATAAACAATCATATGTCAAATTATATATAAACAATATCAACATATGAATATTCATAAATCAAAATATTGATAAATTTATAGTCGTGATAATCAAACAAATAATTACACATAAACTGTCATCAAAAAGGAAGTATTTATGAATGAAATAAATCAGGATTAGGATTGGAATCTGTTTTATTAACAGTCATCAAAAAGGAAGAATTTATGAATGAAATAAATCAGGAGTAGGATTGGAATCTGTTTTATTAACAGTCATCAAAAAGGAAGTATTTATGAATGAAATAAATCAGGATTAGGATTGGAATCTGTTTTATTAACAGTCATCAAAAAGGAAGAATTTGTGAATGAAATAAATTATGATTGTAATCTGTTATATTTTTTATTATAATGTAAACTGATATACACGCTTTAACACAATCAAATCTGTAATATTTCTAATATTCATGTAATAACTTATAATCACACTTTGATCATAATCGACAAAAGTGTAGTTTTGGTCCTGATGCTGATATATATATTAAACTCCTTGGATGAGAAGTGGCATCCAGTGTTCTAGAGAGAGTAAGCTCACTGTGTGAACCATCAGACAATAAGTGGTATCCGGTGTTCAAGAAAGAGTAAGCTCACTGTGTAAACTCCTCGTATTCGTATAAGAAGTGGCATCCAGTGTTCTAGAGAGAGTAAGCTCACTGTGTGAACCATCAAACGATAAGTGGTATCCGGTGTTCAAGAAAGAGTAAGCCCACTGTTAAAACTCCTCGTATGAGAAGTGGCATCCAGTGTTCTAGAGAGAGTAAGCTCACTGTGTGAACCATCAAACGATAAGTGGTATCTGGTGTTCAAGAAGGCGTAAGCTCACTGTGTAAACTCCTCGTATGAGAAGTGGCATCCAGTGTTCTAGAGAGAGTGTTATTGGATGTTAAAGAAAGAGAAAACATACCACTTATAATTACACTTTGGTCAGTATCTACCAAAATATATTTTTGATACTGAAACTGCTAAATAGCTGTTGGTAGATAATACTGTGAAATATACAGTGATAAAATATAAACTGTGACGATTCAAAAACGAATAGATTGCGTGGTTTTATGCTATTCTAGTTTTAAATAAAATCTGTGAACAATTCTTGATAGATATTACTGAATGTTAGGAAATATAACAAAGAATTGTTAGCTTGTTGTTATGTAGGCTCATCAATGAGGAGTGGTATCAGATGTTCTAGAGAACGAGTAAACATACAATGTGAACTCCTCGAATGATAAGTGGCATCAAGTGTTCTAGAGAGTAAGCATACTGTGTGAACTCATCAAATGAGAAGTGATAGGAGGTGGTCTAGAAAGAGAACATACTAGGTGAACTCGTCATCATACAAGAAGTGACATAAGGTGTTCTAGAGAGTAAGCATACTAGATGAACACATCAAATGAGAAGTGATATGAGGTGTTATATATATAGTAAGCATATTACATTTATGTGACCTCCTGAAGTGACATCAGGTGTTCGAGAAAGAGTAAGCATAAAACGCGATACCAGGTGTTCCAGAATTATTAAACATACTATGTGAATTGCTTAAACGAGGAGTGGTATCAAGTGAACGAATAATATAATCGGGAAATTTAGAAATTCGTATGTGCAAAGATACATATAAATGATAAGTGATATTGGATGTTCTATAATTGTTAGGATTTAATCATGTGGTGTGGTTCTGCTAAAAGTACAGGTCGACAGAGGTTGAGGTCGGACAGTGAATGTTCCAGTTATGATGAAGAATATAAAATAGTTGTTGTTGGTTCAGCTGATGTCGGTAAAACAGGTAAATTTGTTTTAATCTGTTTTAATGCAAACATAATATATCAATACAAGACAGTCACAGAATATAGAAGAAATGGTGCCTGGATACATTCGCAATATAACATAGAACAAGCAGTACATTAATACAGTCTTAACATAACCTAGAACAAGCAGTACATGAATACAGTCTCAACATAACATAGAACACACAGTACATGGATACAGTCTTAACATATCATAGAACACATAGTACATGAATACAGTCTCAACATAACATAGAATAAGCAAGAAAAGGGATAAAGTCTCATCATAACCTAGACTACACAGTACATGGATACAGTCTCAACATAACCTAGAACACATAGTACATGGATACAGTCTTAACATAACATAGAACAAGCAGTACATGGATACATTCTTAACATAACATAGAACAAGCAGTACATGGATACAGTCTTAACATATCATAGAACACATAGTACATGAATACAGTCTCAACATAACATAGAACAAGCAGTACATGGATACAGTCCCAACATAACCTAGAACACATAGTTCATGGATACAGTCTTAACATAACATAGAACACACAGTACATGGATACAGTCTTAACATATCATAGAACACATAGTACATGAATACAGTCTCAACATAACATAGAACAAGCAGTACATGGATACAGTCTCATCATAACCTAGACTACACAGTACATGGATACAGTCTCAACATAACCTAGAACACATAGTACATGGATACAGTCTTAACATAACATAGAACAAGCAGTACATGGATACATTCTTAACATAACATAGAACAAGCAGTACATGGATACAGTCTTAACATATCATAGAACACATAGTACATGAATACAGTCTCAACATAACATAGAACAAGCAGTACATGGATACAGTCCCAACATAACCTAGAACACATAGTTCATGGATACAGTCTCAACATAACATAGAACACACAGTACATGGATACAGTCTTAACATATCATAGAACACACAGTACATGAATACAGTCTCAACATAACCTAGAACACAAAGTACATGAATACAAAACAGACAATCGCATCATAACTTAAAACAGAGTTGTTGGCTGTTTTCTACCGGAATATGTTCCACAAAACATAGAATTACCAATGTATAAATATTTCACACAGATAATATTCAAACTAAAACAAGAAAACTGAAATATCAATTTGAATTTAATACTAATAGCAAATTATGGGCCAGGAAACGGACATGACGTCATGGCAGCCATCTTGGACTTCATATCAGAAATCGATGCGCAATTGTCCGATTAACTGGTATGCCAATTTTAATGACTATCATACTTGAACACGACAAGAACAACACGATGAATAGAGCTTGGGACTCATTTTACGGGTCGAGCAGAACAGTAGGACGTTAAACCCCATTTCATTTCATTTCATAGAAAACTGTATTGCGTATGCTTGTCTTCATTAGCTCAGTTCGGAGCAGAACAGTAGGGGTAAACCCCATTTCATTTCATTTCCTGATCTAAAAATATTTTCGAGAAAAAGGCAAATGTGTTTTGTAATAATAATGATGATGATGGCATAATTGTTATGCAATTTTGTGTTACATCAAAGGCTATCTTATAATTCTTGTTTTTTTATTTGTATTTTGGCAAGCGGTTGGATATTATTTTATGAATTTGATTATAATTTTATAAATCTAAACATTTCTGTTTTACGTCAATTCTAGTTAATGAAGAACAGCCCACAGGAAAGTACAAAATCTGGACGTAATCAAATTAAACATATTATGCATGTTATATCCGTTAATATGGTCTGGTTCATGTAGAAATACGGAACACGGTGACACTTCACTGAGAGAGAGAGAGAGAGAGAGAAAGAGAGAGAGAGTGGGGGAGAGAGAGAGCGGGGGGGGGGGCGTTTAACGTCCACTCGACAAAAACCGGGTCATTTCGGGACTAACATACGGGGTTCAATTTTATTTCAATATTTCGCTTGCACGTAGGGGTCTTTCTTTATAGCATTGGGAAGAAACTGGAGGACCCGGAGAAAACCCACGAGGCTGGAAAGGCGACCCTACTCCTTGTCACATACAGCCAGGAAATCGAAACCACGCCAGTTGACTCAATGACAGACCTTATGATACAACGCGCACGCGCTAACCATTCGGCCATCCAACCCCTCTAATGTTAAGAAACGTTCACTGTAAACCACACAATCCCCGTACCTCCTACGCAATACCCCAAAAACTCCATGAAAACTTCCTACATGTAAGTATGTAAAACAGAAGTGGCAAAGTGTCATGGGTGTGAGAGTGCGGTAGTCGATTTGTCATTGCACTGGATGCTCTCGTATAGTTTCCCTGTTTCACGTCTATTATATCCAGTCCATTGCACGGATGGTACCTGTATACCATTCTCACAAGAAAAATGGTGTCTAAACATTCGGAGTTTACGTAAAGGATCCCGTCGCAGTTCGAAATCAAAAACGACTAATAATAACAAGAAGAGAGAGAAAAAGAAATGACACAAACTAGGTCATTTCGGGACTAACATACGGTTCAATTTTTTTTCAATAATTCGCTTGCGCGTATGAATCTTTATAGCAGTGGGAGGAAACCGGAGGACCCGGAGAAAACCTACGAAGTTAGACAGGCGACCCTACTCCTTGTCACGTACAACCGGGGATTCGAAACCACGCCAGTTGCCTCAATGTCAGGCCTTATGATACAGCGCGCACGTGCTAACCATTCGGCCATCCAACCCCAGTAAGCCTGACAAGGACAGCTGTCCCGTGTATACATTTGCACGCACGTCAACGGATCCATTGGCAGTTGGAATTTGATATAAGAGTAGGCCGTAGTGCCGCTGCCCGGGCACAATTTCCCTCATAGCACACTGTATGGCGTATGTCCGTCTTCATTAGCCCAGCTCGGAGCAACACAGTAGGACGTTAAACCCCATTTCATTTCATTTCATTTCTGTCAGTAAGTTTCGTTATATGATTTTAATATGGCGGTGTTGAAATTTGCTGTAATTTAAACGAAAATTGATAAGTTTTCTGAGTCTATCCACGATACTTAAATCACGTAATGTTTGTTAGTTTTTCCTCCAGTTAATGTCATATATATCACATTTAGTTTACTTTTATTGGCAATGTATTAGGTTATCTTCGGTATAAAGTCATCTAATATAAGAAGACGTTGAAATCCGACATATTGTAAGAACGATCAACTTATAGTAACTACCTACATAAAGATATAAACAAATGGTTATAAATATAAATATATCTTCATACGATGTTTTGTTAGACTTGTTTCTGTTTATTCAGATAAACTTAATACAATAATAGATATATGATTTATCTACTTGTCTGTCTTCAATCTACAGGTATACACTCTACAGGTACACCCATGCTCTTCATATATAGTGTTGAATGAGAGAGAGAGAGAGAGAGAGAGAGAGAGAGAGTAACGTAGGGGTCTTGAGCAGTGGGAAGAAACCGGAGGACCCGGAGAAAACCCACGAGGTTGGGCAGGCGACCCTACTCCTTGCCACGTACAACCGGGGATTCGAAACCACGCCAGTTGACTCAATGACAGACTTTATGGTACAGCGCGCACGTGCTAACCATTCAGCCACCCAACCCCCCAGAGAGAGAGAGAGAGGGAGAGAGAGAGAGGGGTGGGGTTTAACGTCCAATCGACACAAACTAGATCATTTCGGGACTTATATGGTTCAATTTTATATCATTAATTCGCTTGCGCGTAGGGGTCTTTAGCAGTGGGAAGAAACCCATGAGGTTGGACAGGCGACTCTACTCCTTGTCACGTACAAGCGGAAAATCGAGACCACTCCACTTGACTAAATGACAGACCTTATGATGTAAGACGCGTGCGTACAAACCATTCGGCCATCCAACCCCCCCAAAAGGTAGCAGAAAGCGCAATCTGATTAAAATATAGATCTATATTTCGTTTCGTTTTTTTTTATATTTTCGTTGGCTACGTTACACAAAGATATGACCTTTTGACCCCATGACGTCAGACACAGTTTAATCAATCCGCGTTAAGTTGCTAGTGGTCTACCAACAGTTCCGTGCATCACACGCCAAGAACTCGCCGTACAGACCGATTCATTGGCTAATCCCTCACTCCAATCAGAACGCCGGTAATATAACAACTTTTCCAGATCCTAGTGTAGTAAAGACAAGTAAAACGAAATTTTGAAATTTAAAAAAAACCCAAACGAAATAGGATCTGTGTTTTGATCAGATTGCAGAAAGTGCTGACAAAGCGGAAATATTTGAGTAATGTGATGTTATGGGATGTTAATATTTGTGAACGGATGAGAGTCATTAATTGTATCAGTACACAGTAGATATCATAATTTGTCACTATGGGAGACCAGATAAACCAAATAATTTGTCACTATGGGAGACCAGATAAACCAACAAACATAATCGAAAGTACAAAGATCATATTCCTCACATAATCAAATAGATTACTCAGGATAATTGATTCAAGGTAGAGTCACACTTGTCGACTGATCGTTTCAAACAAATCATAGCAAATGTCTAAAAGGATAAGCTCAATAGTATAGTCCACTAAAGGCAGACGCACACAAGTAGAAAAGTCGTTTGAGACAAATCGTAGCAACCGACATAAAAAGTCATTAATACGTCTCGACTCTCGATAGCCATTTTGAGAAGATGAAATACTGGTCGGTTTGTTCGTTGGAACAAACTTACATTAATAGGAATTGTAACATGGACGGGAAATCTTCCTTTGTTCTTTTCGGTGAATAAACAGATTGTTTTCCCTCTAGTAGATTGGGTGGAGCTTAACCGTGCAATAACTAGACATGTTCAATGTTATTGTCTCGGTGTTTAAACCTGTTAACTCATGAAAGCCGTGCTATAAATATAACTTGTTCAATACTCTGTGACTTAATGTACAATTTAAATTATTTAAGCGGCACTTAGTAACTGTAAGAGAATAACAAATGTACATTTTTTTT